GTTGGGGGGGGGGGGGAAAAAACCCTCCCCCCACCTCCAAAACTGGCTTGAAGTTAGGCCAGAAGTTCACTTATCTGGGTTTTGTGCCTCATATGTAATATGCAAACATCTCATAACTTCTTGAGTTAGACATCATTAAGCAAGCCTATTATGAAAAATCATTTAGAAAAATTTACTAAAAAAAAAGAGGCAGATAAGATACAGATCTCTCAGAATTCTTTCTTAAGTGTAAATTAAGCTTTTGCCTTTGAAGATGAAGCAACTGATACTGAAAGCCACTGTGTTCCAAATATTATGACAAGTTTGTTTGCTTGAGAAGACTCTTCCCATTTAACTAAAGATTGGGCATTTCTGTTTAGAAACAGCAAACTTGAGATAAGCAGAGCTGAACACTGTTTCGAAATGCAGTACATGCTGTTTGCGTTGCATGTTTGCTGAACGTAGTTGGCAATGTATAGATAAAAACTTGTAAATAATTAACTGACACTGCAGTCAGAGTTGCCTTGTAGTCTGTTCACCTCGTAAGTCACAGTCTATCATCACCTTGAGGAAAAGTGCAAGTTTACTTTCAGTATCACCTAATGGAATAGTTGGCTCAAAACTGTCACTATCTATGCCATGTATCTTAAGGAGTAGTTAGAATTTTGGGCTTTTATACTTCAAAGAATAGTTCAGGAAAAGTTGTGGTTAAGAAGTTGAGAGGGCTTACATAGATCAGAGGAAATCTATGCAGCTGTTTCAGCAACAGAAACATTTGCCTCCAAAAATGATATAAACTCTTCTTCCCTGTAAAATAAATGAAATCGACATGTAAAGAGCCAAAAAAAAAAAAAAGTGTAAGCTTGGCAAAGCCTTAATGAAGTAGTCTAGGCTAGTCCTTGCTACTAAAAGCAAGGAGAGGGTCGACATCTACATCACTAGTGCCAGCAGTTTGTCTTAGGCACTTGCCAGTTTTCTGCAGTACATAGCTAATTTTTGATTCCAGTTAAACTACACATTTTAACCTTGCATCAATCAGTGATCTGCAAAGGTATACTGATTTTTCGAAACAATGCACTGGAATTTTAATTTTCAATAATTTAGTTCAGTAAATTTCCCACGTGAATTACTTGAGCATTAATCTATATAATTATTTTCTTTTGAAATCAGATATGGGTTTGATAAGTTTATCCACACAAAATAGCGTGCAGATCACTTACTTTTTACAGCATGTCTTGTGATGACAGATGGAATCAAAGTTAATTGAAATCAAGAAATTTATTCAGAGTTGTCACTTTCTAGAAAGCAAATCAGTAGCTAGACTGAACAGTGAATTACTTAATTGTGAGTTAATATTGATTATGTGTGACTGAAACATTAATGACAGGAAGTTATCTAGGCCTTCTGTACAGTAGTGGAGAATACTATGTGATAATCTATGAAGTATTTTTTTTCTTCTACACTTGTTTCATGAAACTTACCAAAATACGCTATCCAAGTCAGTCTTAGTTATCTACTAGAATTAAAGGTAACTTCATTAATCCTTCAAGAAAGTACTAAGTGGTGTGCAGTCAAATTAAAAAGGAGGATCATTACAGTGGAGATCAGCAATTGCTAAACGAGCATGCAATTTGCTCTTGAAAGTAACCGTACCAAAGTGTCACTGTGCATTGGCTACTACAAGCAAACTTTGTCTTCTATACAGTGAAAGGTAGATATTATAAGACTTCTTTTTTCCTAACCACTGTGCTGAGTTATTTACTGAGAGGAACAGCCATACACAGTGATGCTTCAGTAAACATTATGCAGAACTTTGAAGCAGGTTTTGTTACCATCCAATGCAAAGCAATTGGAAAGCAGAAATAGCATTAGAAAGCAGTCACTTTCAGGGTGAACACAAAGAAAATCTAAGCTGAGGAGCCAGAGTGTTGCAGTCTTATCTGGGGAATTAACTGATTCTTTAATTTATACAAAGATGTATGCTTAAACCTACTGTATTTTAAAACTGTCCCTTCTTACTTGATAGGATGCTCCAGAAAGGTAAAAAGGCTTTCATATACTGAAATACTATATAATTTCATACTATGAAATACATAGTATACTGTATACTATGTAACAATTCGCGATTCACACCTCAGATAAAACAACCATTCCTTGTGTATTTATTGTCTACATAATATTTTGTTATACTGGATATAAACTTATAATCTCCAAAATACTGCACTTAATTTTCTTAACTCTCTAATGCATTCTTGACAGATTTGTTTTTCGTTTAATTAACACCTACAACTATCTATTTAAGTGTAGAACAATTAATGCCCTTTTTCCTCTAACAGTTTCTCCACCCAAGCTGAAAAAACAGACGTTGTCATTAATTACAGTACAGTTAGTTAGTTCTACCCAATTTCACTATAGATATCTGCCAGCTACATTTCTAATGGCATATGATTTTTATTTTATTTTTTTCAGGATGAGAATATAATGCGCTCCATGCAGCTCTTTGAAAATGTGATTTAACGAAGACATTAGCTCAGCAACTAACAGACAAATAAGAGCTATTCTGCAGCATTACCTAAAAGATGAATTTTCCATGTTTATCATAAATAAAATTACTCAGCTTTACACTGAGAGATGTATTATGCAAATAAGCCTTTTTTATTATGAAGTTCCCCTCCAAAAAAATTTCCAGTTGTTAAAATTATATAATTTATCACTTCAGCAGTGGCTACGTGGTTAAGAAGGTTGTTATAAAAATGTCAGATTTCTACTCCAAAGCCAGACAAAATAGGACCTGACATTATACAGCTTTATTATCATTCCAACCCCTAGATAAAATAGATACCATCACAAGACTAAAAACTGCTAGTTTTGCTACTCATTTGTACTGGATTCAGCTCCAGGTGTTTGACTCTATTTCTTAAATGTTAGCTTCTAATTTATACAGAAGCATTACCATGTATTTTATTTTCACATTTGTATGGTGTAGTCCTCACTTTTTTGAATACTTTGAGTTAAAGTGCTATAATCAATGTGCAATGCACATCTTCCTGCAATGGCCTTCCACCTTTGACTTGCTTCTCTCCTCTTAAAAAAAAAAAAAAAAAAAGTTATGAGAGCAAGAACCATTTTATAACAAAGAATAGAAAAAAAAACTGACATAGGTAGATTCACTGCCTAACAAACGCTACTAAGCTTCTATTACTTGTACTTAGCTAATATATCTGCATTCAATTTTTTAAGCCATGTATATCAGGAATTCGATATACTGTATTTCTAATTCTTGTTAGATGTGTCAGTCTCTGCATAAAATTAAGGATCTTCTGAGTTGACCCTTCTCATGAAGAAAAGAAAACTTGACCAGATCCCAGAATTGTTTTCATAAGTATGTGACTAATTGCCTTTAATGAAGAAAAAGACAAAAAGTTCTTTTGAAGCTTCCATTCCACTTCAGCACTCACGTGAATATCAGTCCATAGTAACACCACCAATAAGGGATGCTAGACAGGCTAGCATCTGTTTCAGCTTTTTAGAGCATCTTTAATTATTAGGAAAAAAAAAAACACAAAAAGAAATGGAAACTTCAGCTGTATAATATCATCTATTACATCTACATTGTTTAGGACCATTACACTGTTAAGACTAGAACTACCTTAATTCTGAACCTAGGAAGATTTAAAACAACAACAACAACAACAAAAAAACCCTAAAAGGTAACAACACGGTTTCTGCCCCTCCTCATTTAATTTTTAAGATATAGTGTCCAGAGATTTTATATGACAATACTTCAAAATATGTGAAATGCTATCAGAGATAGGCCAACCTTCATTGTGACATTCCTGCAGAAAATGTGAAAGGGGATTAAAGAAGTAGAAAGAATGCTACAAACATTCTTTTGCAAAAATAAATCAGGTATCTATTCTGGTGTAGAGATGGGATGTTAAGAGGCATGTTGAAGGCTGCTCTGCAATCACCAGTGTAGAATAAGAGTAGTACAATACATGTACACCTGAAATTTGCTGTAATGTGTTTGTGTAAACTAAGTGTGCACATTTTGTAATAAAATAAAATAATCATGAAAAAAAGAAGAGTTGCTTTTTGTGCTGTTAAAATAAATAGTTGCATTTCTTCATATTTAACATTTTTATTAACAAAATAAATTTATTTTAAAAAACTTAAGATACATGTATCTTAACTAATCTTAGTACAGTTCAATTAAATTTAATAGAACCACCCAGTGGTAATTTTCCAGAGAGTCTAAAAATGCACTTTCACATGACCAAGGTATTCTTTAATTCACGATGTAACACCATCTTTTGAGCACTTTAAAAAAAAAAAAAAACTTTCAACAACGTAAATTTATTTTTATAATTTAATTTGCCTCATGGAAAAGATGCTATGGCCAATTTTGTTACTTACTTCAATCAGCTCTCTCTCATGGGGTAACTCAGAGTAACATTAAACCTACCTAGTATTTATTACAAGATGCATTGGGAAGCATTTTGCAATCAAGCTCCAGTATGCCTACAGACAGATGCTGCATCCTACAGGGCTTGACAGGCAGGTAAGTAAGTTGGCTTCTGCAGTCCTTTTATTGTCTTTAGCACGGGTTTCTCCATGGCTTCCACACTTCGAAGTTTATTAGCTTTTCCAAGCTGAATTCACAAGCTAGTCCTCAGTGTATCTGCAGTATTGTAGAACTGAACACAAGGGAGAATGGTGTAAACTAAAAAAATTAAAAAAATGCACAGTTCCCTCCGCTTCTGTTTAGCTGACTGGAATGAATTAGTCCAACAAAACCTAGGCTGCAGCTACATGAAGCAACTTGATGCCTTGATGCCTCTGTACTGTGCTCTCCAGAGCCTTCCCCAGCTCTGTGTGTGCTGAGACTGCTAATGTATTGAGCAGGCTCAATTCTGCAGCGTTTGCTCCCTGCTTGGTACCTTGAGCTTCCCATCTGTAAAAGCCGACTCTGCAAAAGTCAAGCCGAGTTCTCATAGTTCTTTGTCTACTGATGAATCCAAACTGGGGTCATCTGTGTCTGTGGCACAAATAACAGTTAGGTGTTTCAAATACAAGTATACACATTTAATTTAACACTAAGTTTGCTACTATTTAAGTAATTACAGTCAAATTATTTTACATCACACAAACATAAAACATTTTCAGCACTGCAAAACTATTAAAGGAAACTTAACTTACAACAAAATACAAATCAATATTATCTATACTTCTGAAAAAATAGCCAATTAGTCAACGTCATTGTAAGCACAGACGTGCACAAACAAATACCAGCCAATACAGAGATAATTATTTTAATGGTCTTCCATAATTACATTTTTCACAAACTGATGTGACTTTTCCCACTCTCCATCATACCATAGAAGAGCTGTGGTTATTGTAACCGAATATACGATACCCCAAATACATGTCACTGATGTTCACAGGCAGCTTCACCTCGCAGTGCAAATCACTACAGATTTCTCGTTCAAGAGGAGATAGAACAATAGGTCGGAATTTTCGATTTGATGATAGCCACAGTCGCCTCATGATGAAAACAAAACAGATGTAAACAAAAGAAGGAACACTAGCACTACATATAAGACTGTTCATATAGTGTCTATAAATTACATAATTCACAACTTCCACTTTGTTTTCTACTACTTCATTTAATAATGGCAAAGATAACTAAAAAGTTAGTATTCACTGAGAAATGTACTGTCAAGGGATGAAAACAATGAACTGAGAAATGAAGTATCATGATGAGGAAAGATGACTAATGGAGGACAATAAATATCCAAGCTATGTAAACTCATATTTAAAACTGGGTATAAATACAGACACGAGATAAGAAGGATTTTAAATATAGGAGTAGTGTGCTGGAAGGGACTTCTAACACATGTAATAATCATAAACATAACTCATTTAAAATGGATATCTGATAAACTCATTAGTTGGACATTATAATGTTGCTGACTATTGTTTCCAATTTTCTGCCCTATCCTTTTCCAGTATTTATAAAAAACGCACAGGAACACCCACTCATAAAACTGACAGATTACAAGAAATCAGGAGATTAAAGAATTAGATGTGGGATAGTGATTCAGTGGATTAGTTCTGTTAACTGGCCTAAATTCTCAGAACAAGATGATAAATAATAATAATAAAAAAAAACATGCTTCTTTATCTGTCAGGATGTTTTAAAAACCTGTAATATCAACGTTGCTCTTGCCCTTAAATAAATATGAACACCCCCAAAAATGAAGGGGAACCCTCCTGCTCCATCCCCCACACCTTAAGTACTCAATTCTAAAGCCTGTAAGAGTAACTAGATTCAAAATATTTTAAAAAAATCATGTCTAACTAAAATAAAATTCAGGACAGCCTACTTAGGTGCCTACTGATAAGGCACACAGCTCAGAAGTGTTAGACCTACATTTTCATCCCTGTTCTTCAGAGATTCAAACAATGGAGAATATAAATGAAAGAGAGATTAAAAATGGGAGACAATAAAAATAAACTAGTAGAACATGGACCACACAGAATAGATTTAATTTCATTTCTGTCACCACTCAATACCTCAAACAGATAAAAACAACTATTTCATTATGGACTGGAACATATCACCCCAAACTGCTACAGTACAAAACCCTGTGTTTTATACAATATGAATAATCATGGTATGTAAAAAACAAGCACTTTTCAGGATATGGGTATTAATCTGAAAGCTGGTCAACTCACCTTTCCACCATATTGCTCCAACTTTTGTAAAGCAACAGTGATTTTTTCTTTAAATTTCTTGTCCATTAATCTCCTTGAAAGCTATTTGAAAAGCAAAAAAAAAAAAAAAAAAAAAGCTGCACAATCTAGTACAATACATACAAAATGTCCAATATACTTCCATCTTACCTTAGGAAAATGAGAGCAAAAAAGAATATTACAGTAACTGATGCCAAAGTAAAGGAATTCATTCACAGCAAAAAAAGTAAAATGTTAATTGATGAGAAATGTAAATCCAAAGAAAGCTCCCAATTCTTACAATTAGCAGCCATATAAATACGTATTTGAAGATTTTTACTTTTACCAAACAAATTTTAAAGTTGCATCAACCTCAAAACGAAGTCATTCTTGGAATGCTGTCCACATTAAAAGTTAACACATTTTTCATGAGCATCAAAAACATTTTATGTAGTGGAAGTACTCTAAAGTAACTCTTGCAGATTCTCTCTTCTGCATTAGGTGTTTCAAACATCCTTTTATTTTGCAGTAAAAGTGCACTTTGGAAGCAGGCTAAACTAAATTGTGAAAAGCCAGTCTGACAGTAGAAGAACGTCCACAGAAGGACTCAGTATAGAAATAGTTTCAGTAGCCCTGCTCTAAGCTTATTTAATTAAAACATTTCTTGTGCAGAATCTGAAAGGAGTGGGAATACTTGCTCATGTTAATGTACTGCAACTTCCACAGAGTTTTGAAAATATATATGCTTTAAAATGCAAATTTCATTCTACAGCAAACATCCCTTCAAACATAGTGTCTATCTCACCTCAGGCTCAAAGAAGGATCTTCTCAAAGAGTAGAGACAGCACTTCTATTATTCTCCTATTTATTTTAATAACAGCTTTTGGAGCTTCTTAGAACTTTATAAATCATGATATTATTAAAGAATGATGGACTTACACACAAGAATATATGAGGTAATGCTTTTCATGGAACTGCTGAGTCCTCCACCATATCTGTGCAGATATTACAGTAAACACCTCAACAAAAGTACCATAAAAATGCAGATGATCTGTTGTTACAGCATTAGAAACCTACATTTGTGAGTAGAAGCTTAAGGTGATCATTAAGAGAAGAGCCAACGACAGCACTCAGCTGAACTAAGGCATCCAAACCTCTTTCGAATACCTCATCATCTGAATGGGCCTTCAAAGGGGAGAAAAAAAATAAAATTAATACTCTCAGATAGGAATTTAATCTTCAGACAAACGCACAATTTCTTTAAAGCTGTAATCTCTACATCACAGTTTGTTATAGTACTTTGAAAAATTAAAAGTACTGTGTAATTGCTAATTATAAAGTTACAACCAGTTTAGAAATACAAGTACTACTGAATATTAGTACGTATATGTAACATTTAAATGTAGAAGTATCTTTTTTAAAAAAGTAGAAAAGAAAAGCATTCACAAAATGTAATCAGTGAAATTCTTCCATTTATTATGAGATGAACAAACTAATGATTTATGTTTGCTAGAATAACTAATTCAGCAGGCAAAAGAAACCCTTTACTACACGAAGCATTCCAATTTGGAACGTATCCTGCATAATGTGCTCCACAGTATAACAGAAAGAACCTTTAAAATGTGGATATGTTGAAATTGGGAGACATTTTAGTTGCAACTTTAATAAACTGAGAGTAACTCATAAGCATAACAATTATTGTATTTGCTGGAGAAACACAGGAAGCAATGAATTCCTGCACCACTGAATTCAGGTTCCTGTCAACTACAGCTTTGTCACCTGCCATCAATTATGAATCGCCTACCTACCCCTGTGGTGCTGCTTT